AGTGAAATTATAATAAATCGAAGACAAAATACTTTCTAAAAGGAGACTACAATTTTTCATAAGTGATACAATAAAGCAGACGTTTTATTTTCATCTCATCGACTATGTATAGAATCATTCAACAATCAAAAAACAAAAAAGAAAACTTATTGGAATCGCGTATCGTATTCGTCATAATATTGTTACTATGTTAAGTCCACATGTATTATCACAGATGATATTATGAAACTATTAATCTAACATAAATCAAAAAGAAAAAAATGTTTACATTATCCAGTGACCTTAATCGTATCAACTTCCGTCGTATACGATGTTTTTACTGTCTTTTCCTCCGATTGAATATTTCTATTAGATTTGATTTATACACATATTTATTCTCGGGTTTCCGTTTTGTCGAAATCTTAATTGATTTTTCCGTTTCGTCAAAAAATTAAATTATAATGATAAAAGCAGGATCAAAACAAATAGCTTAATTGCTGTAATTGTCTTAGATAATACTTTTTCTAAAGAAACTAATTAAATGTGTCGATGTGAGTATTCTGTTCCCTCAATTCTACATTCACTCCTACACTCACACATACTCTAAACAACAAGCATTAATATTAGAAGAATATGTTGAAAAAGTTATGCGATTAATTGGTATTATAAAAAAATATTGATTTTTTTGTTTTTCTACACATGTTTTCTTCTTTAATATCTTCTGTATGCGTACCTAATATTGTTCTCTAATAAAGTTTTTTTGAAAAATTGATTTAAAATTATTAAGCATTATCTTTTATTAGTATGTTTAAAAAAATCTAATCAAACAGAATAACCTACCTTTCTCCTTTTCGTTGCAACGTTTATTTTTCGACAAAGCGGGACCTAATCATATTTATTGTTATATCACTCAATATTCATATTGATTGTTCGTTTTGTCTGAATTTTCTTTGTATGTAACTATTCATATTGGCTAAAGTTTCTTCTATAGAGAACTACGAGTCTATATTTTTGTGAGCCCCAGAGACGATTTTGTTTTTGTTTTAACTATTTATTGATTACTGTCAGACAGAAAGTCAACACACAGTTATTTCTTGTTGTTTACTTTCCCATCATTCGATACTTAATAAATCATAAGTTTACGCTTAATTGAAAATATCATAATGTTTACAAAAATGAAATTAAGTAGTTAATTGATAACTAAAATTCGTCACTAAAAATTGTCCCACCAACAGTAATAACAAAGCTTTCAGCTGTATGGAATATTTTCAATTGTACCGAATGTAGTGGCGGCGCCAGACTACTAGCACCCTTCTTGATTTGATGGGCAGTGGAAAGTGGCGGCGCCAGACTACTACCGCCCTTCTTATTTTGATGGACTAGCGGAAAGTGGCGCCTCAACAATAAGCGTTGGTTTATCAAGGATACCAAGCATCAACAGAGTAGCTAGGGACGAAACTAGAACTATAGCGAGTCTCTTGCTTGGTAGAGAGCAACAGATAGTGCCGCTGCTCTATTGGTACTTGGTATCCTTGATAAACAAACGCTTATTGTAGAGGCGTCACTTTCCACTGCCCCACCAAAACAATGGAGGTGCTAGTAGTCTGGTGACGCCACTAACCGAATGTTTCAAAAGTTCGTGGGAGAATTAAATTCGTATAGCTCCACTATTTATTAAACTTAATCAATTAATTTTTTTTCAAATAATAGGTATCATTATGAAGTTTTTATTAATACAAATACAAACTTCAGAAATTGTGTTCAAAGTTATTACTTTCAACTAAAATACAAAAACTAGTCGTATTTCGATTTCCAAAAATACCACTGTGCAGTGTTTCTCTTTTAATGTTCCAATTTTTTGCGTTTTTTCATGACATTTAGATCAGCTAAATTTTTCCCTATCGTTTCTAAGCATTTGTTTTGATATGTCACTACAAAAAGAAGCGTAATGATGTTCAAGTCTGGTGATCACGAAGCTCATCAGATCGATTTACTTCTTCCAATTCACCAGTTATCATTCAGAAACATAAAGGAATTTCATGAGCTTCGTGATCACCAAACTTTACACTCTTAGGCTTCTTTTTATAGTGACATATTGAAACCAGTGAATAAAAACGATAGCGCAAGGTCTGACCGATTTAAACGTCAAAAAATAGCCGCAAGAAACTGAAGCATTAAAAGAGAAATACTGTATAGTAAATTTCTTTTGGTAATCGAGAACAACGATTGATTTTCTGTATTTTAGTCGAAAGTAATAACTTTGAACAGTATTTCTGAAGTTTATTCATATCAACCAAAACTTCACAGTGATATCTATCATTTGAAAAACAAATTAATTGATTAAGTTTGATAAATAGTGGAGTGTTATAAGAATTTACTTTTCACACGAATTTTTTGGACACTCGGTAGTTATGTAAATGGGATCAAACAAGAATATGTTCTATGCAACCAATGTGAAGATTTACTTATTTATAAAACCATCTTCGAGTATTAATTCGCTATCTAAGTATATTTGTAGTTGTCTAAATAAAAAACCCGACAATTGCCAATGCTCAAACAAGCATCAATGAATTTTATGCGTCTTCAAAACATGAATCGGCTATTCCCGATCAAGTTAAGCAGAAAATTAAAGTTACTTGTGTTGAATTGACAGTCGATCATGCAAAAAAAACTAATCATATCGATTTTAAAGATCTTGAACAAAAAATTTATTATGCTGGTCGATACTTAGCAATGGGAAGCCGCGTGTTCACCCTTCTGTGAGTCCAAATCTGGGAAAACTCGCATCTTCCTATCTCTTTGATAATCTCTTACCAATACTAAATAAATTCTTTAGACAATTTATATCCATTATTTGTCTAGATACTTTTATTTTTATGCTTGAAACTCTTTCAATGATACCGCATTGCTCGAAAGGAGCCAAGTCTCTCTTGTTTAGCAAAAAAAAATACTATCATTGATTTTTGTCTTTTTTTAAATTAGTCCGTTTTTTTAATATTTATTTGAGTTCGGTTCTTCATCATTTACATTAATTTATGCATCATCTATAAATTGAACTTATGATACTTTTCAGTCAAATAAATATAATTCTATTTACAACTCTGAACTTAACATAGAAACATTCAAAACATTTTTTCTGAAGTAAACTTTAATCTCTTGATGATTAATGTATTCTTAAAACCTAGATACAACTATAAAAAGAAATCCTTATTTGAAAAATTATGAATTGTTTATCACTACGTTTGCTTTTGTTTTGAGAGTATACAATATATCATCGTGTCCAGAAAGTTCGTGCAACTCATTTACTATGAAATCTTAGGTTAACAAGTACAGCATTTATTCAATGTAATGACCTTTGCTAACAACCACACGTAACTCATTGGCAGCGTGGAACCGCTAGCGAAGGTCATTACATTGAATAAATGCTGTACTTGTTAACCTAAAATTTCATAGTAAACGAGTTGCACGAACTTTCCGGACAAGGTAATAGATCATGCAATAAAATAAACTACCTATCCAACTATTAATCTTTGTGATTTATTGACATACAAACAGATTTTGTCCTCAAAAATATGTTATTGATATAAATCAACAGGAAGAAAAATTTCATTACATTGGATCTATTGGGTAATAGATTTCACTTTATCATACTACCTGAATCTACGCAGATGAAAGTGGGTCTTAAAAGTAATCAAAGAATTTTCGAAAGCAGTATTATATATCCGCTTGTCATTTTGTTTTTTAGTCGATGTTTACTAAAATCAATGTTACTACTATTTTAAATAAGATTTTTTCCTTCTAATTCACATTAAAACTGTTCTAGCATTGATTTGAGGTATCATCGATGTGATACTCCTTTTAATAGTGAAATGTTTTTTGAAGTTTACATAACAATAAGTCAATTTGTGTAAAAAAAAAAAAGAACAAATCTCTGATCAACGGATTGTATGGTCATTCGGACTCATATATCTGATAACAGAAAATCCAAATTGACAGATTATTTTCTTTACTATCTTTATCTTTCATATATATTGAATGACAAATTCGAAGATATTTGCTTCGATAGTAATTAAAAACAAAACAAAACAACTAACATAATAAACTCACTAAATCTTAGGATGATATTCTCATGTTACTATAGATAAGTAAATAATATTGCTAATCGATTTGATAAATGTTATTTTTCTCAATGGTCGAAAATTTATTACTATACATGAACAATATTTCTAATTTTCTGCTTGAAATTTTATCAATATTTTAATTTTATTAATGCTAAGAAATGTAGATCGACAGACACATACCATTGTTCTACTGTTTCTATCGAGTTCTATTTCAATAATTCGATTGTAAGCCAAGTATTGTTGAGAAAATGAGAAATATAAAGAAAAGAATATATAGTATAGTTCACTAGATCAGATATAGACAAAATCTGCAATAGTGATTTGTTTGTCCTTCAGTTTTGCTAATTGAATATTTAATGATCTATTGGGAAAAAAAATAATTGTTTTTATTCTTCGTATCCTGTCATTTATTAGTATTGAACCCTTATCTATCATGTGAATATAAATTCCAGTAAGGTTAAACAGTTCGATTATTTTGTATGAGAGAATAGCTTTATATTATCTTAAGAATGAGTTTATCTTGTTTCATCTCCCGATAGACATATATAATAATAGAAATTTTTCATTTTTGTCTTTTAATTATAGAACATAAATATTAAAGTGTATGCTCTAATTGCATTAATATTGTGTAATAAAAAAAAAACCAATAAATATATGATTTTTGTAATCACTTAGACATTGATGTTGTCTATTTTGTCTTTATAATATACTTGTCTTTTGCGATTATAGACAATAGAAAATTTTAAATATTAAATTTTTCTTTGTCCATTTTGTTTTTATTTTTTGAATTTCTCTCTTTCTTTTTTTTTTAAATAAATACAATAGCACTCTATATGATAACGTAAATATGTGCTATCGATATGTGTTTTAACTGGAATGTCAATATAACTTGTTTATTATTTATCGTCGTTCGCTATGAACAGCATCTTCATCAGGTAAGCTACGTCGACCTAAGAGTACAGCTTCAACAGGTAAACGACGTTTACCAAGAAGAATAGATTCAACAGGCAAGCGACGTTTACCAAGAAGAATAGATTCAACAGGTAAACGACGTTTACCAAGAAGAATCGATTCAGCTGGAAGACGAACACCACGTGATCCAAATCGATGTTTGCCCAACATAATACTTGGATATGCATCACGAAATTGATTATTGTGTTCTGTAGCTCGTTTGTCGAGTAGTGACATCGCATCATCTTGATCATTATCCAATATTTTCACTGATGTGGAATCATCATTATCATCTTTGTTTTGTACCTTTGTAGCATTTATTGAATCAATCCAAAGAAGAAGACCTTGAAGCAAATAAAAAGAAAAGACAATGAAAGTGATTTTCAAATGTTTTTATTTTTATGAAAGATTAAAAAAAAAGAGAGGAACTTTTAAAAGATTATTATTCTTAGTCTGATATGTCTAAGTAATTTTATCATTTATCATTGTAGTTCGATATTTTAATGTCAAATTGTACTTGTTGATATAGAATCTTTTTTTAAAACTTACCCATTGTGAAGAAAACCGTATAAATTATTGAACTGGAAACCATTATGACTGAATTAGAGAGAGAGAGAATAATAAAGAAACGAAAGTGAATGATGAATGTTGTAAAAATAGCGTGGTTGAGAATGAAGTTCAAATCTAAAATACGCACACACATATATATATATAGATGGATACACGCAAACCTTATATCTCATGAGGATTTGCAGAGAGTCATTGTGTATCTGTTTTTTCATGTTCAATTATCTTTTCTCTATCTTATTAGTTTATGATAGAATACAACAAAATAGGAGACCAATACTGAACATTAGAAATTGTCAATGAGATGAAATTGAATATCATTATACCCATGATGAATGATGCCTTTTTTTTGTCAACCGATTAGATGAATGACAAAGATATTAGGAAAAAAAAAGGTACTATCCATTTAAAAAACAAAAGAAAAAAAAAACAGATCCTTATATGACTGAAAATATATGCTCGATTATCGTCAACGCTTTTCTATTCTGTGGAATCTATTGTTATGAAAAAACAAAGAAACAGTGAGTGTTAAATGAACAGATCAACTGACTTTTTATATTCTTCTGTTTCTTTGCTTAACTATTTAGAACGTCGCTTTCTCTCTTGTTTTCTTTTTTTTTTCTATACAAATTGTTGAAAAAAAAGAAAACTTTTCTTGCTTTCTGTCTCATATGAAGATAATTTTATGAAAAATATATCGATAATTTTTGACTTAAACCAAACTTATATTAGAAGAAAACTTTGTTTTTCGAATATTATTTCTAAATTTAATAATAGAATTTCTTCTTAAATATATTAACACAAATTTCATTTTTGAATAGTTAAATTACATTAATGAACAACGACATTAAGGGATAAATACTTTTTTTTTTGTCTTTTGAGTATATGACAATCAAGTTGACGTGCTTTCAATTACGTATACTAGTTTTTTTCTTTTTATCATTTAATTATTTATCTTGGTTAAATGATTCTCTTGAGTACGGACACTTGTTGTTTTTTGTTCACTAGAATAAATTGACAATCATGTACATCACAACTGTTGTTGTATATATATATATATATATATAGATGTATATAAGAATCTAACAAACACTCTACATAGAGACAGATACTTCAAAGATTATTAAGAAAGGATGAGAGTGTATAAGTACACATTTCCGTTCTGTTTGATTTTTAATACAAAGTCTATTTTCACAATATACTAAATGGTCAGTAAGTTATTGATACTAGCCAATAATGTGTACGTTCATTTTGACAGAAAACAAATAAAAATGAAGAGAAATTCAAGTATATGCTGAGAGCCTTTTGTTCAGATTATTATTTTTTATAAAAGAATCATTCATTTAAAATAATCCATTGAATCTACTGAACCATATACAAATTTTTCATTGCTTACATTTTGAGTTTGAAATACACATGTGAATTCTATTTGTCGTTTAATTATTGTATTAATGACACTTCCTTCACATTTAGTTCATATTGTTAATGATAGAACTTTTCAAGCATTTCAAAACGAACTAATTTATATTGTCTAAAACAGGTCGGCTACATAATAAAACCCCAGATCGACTATTCATCAGGTTCAACTTTTAACTTTTTCGATTAATATTTAATAGCTAACAAGTAGAATAATACTCATGGCACTTCAAACAAAGATTATATTTGAAATTAACAAAAAGAAATGAGTCTATTTATATATGTTTCAAACTTGTTCTATGACTTGTTTTGCTGATTAAATTTTCATTCCTGGACCCCCTCTCCCCCCCCTCCAGGGATATACGGGAAAATGAATTTAATCAAAAAGTTATTATGACAATGAAAAGCAAGTTCTAAAGTTGTAAAATGTCATTTAAAGACAAAAGACAAGTGATCAAACAATAAAATAGTTATGTTGATTAAATTCATTTTTCCACATATCTCTGGAGGCGTTGAGGGATGAAAATTTGATCAGAAAAACAAGTTATAGAATATATTTGAAATATATATAAATAGACTCATTTCTTTTTGTTAATTTCAAATACAATCTTTGTTTAAAGTGACATGAGTATTATTCTACTTGTTAGCTATTAAATATTAATCGAAAAAGTTAAAAGTTGAACCTGATGAATAGTCGACTTGAGGTTTTATTATGTGGTCTACCTGTTTTAGACAATATAAATTAGTTCGTTTTGAAATGCTTGAAAAGTTCTATCGATTACAATATGAATTAAATGTGAAGGAAGTGTCATTAATACAATAATTAAACGACAAATAGAATTCACATGTGAATTTCAAACTCAAAATATAAGCAATGAAAAATTTGTATATGGTTCAGTAGATTCAATAGATTATTTTAAATGAATGATTCTTTTATGAAAATGTAACCTGAACAAAAAGCTATACAACTAACTGGTCATTTAGTATATCATGAAGATAGATTCTGTTCACAGTTATGATCGAATCAAAATGATGACGAACTCATAATCTTTCATTGAATATATAATTTAATTAGTTTGGACCGTGGAGATCAGAAGGAGCCGAAAGATCTATTTATACGTTCGCATCCTTTTATTGCTTACATAAGCAATAAATGTTATGACATAGGTTTTTTGTTTTCATGAAATAGTCTGAAAACAAATTTATCGGTAATAAGAATTATTGAAATTTTTTTAGAAATGAAATTCTATTTTTCTCTATGAATTATAAAGACAATCTAACAAGATATTTTTGTTAAAGGTTTACTTATTATGAAAAAAAAAGGTTTAAACTTCTATTAGAAATATTTTTCAATAAATGTATATTTTGAAGAATATCAATAATAGAAATCATTCAATAGTTCTATCTCTACAAAAGTCATAAATTCATCTATTATTAAAAACTCCTGTTTTTCTCCTGCGAACAATCAAAACAGAATTATCCTTGATGATTGCTTGCACTTGACTCTGAATATGTTGTATAAAAGCATCTGCAATAAAGGTGAATTTTTGTGACACAGTCTTTTTTCTCACGTCTTATTTACTATGTTTTTTAAACCATTCTTACTCGTTGTACCTGTCTGTGCATAATATCCTCTCATATATTTGACGTTATAGAAATCCATTATCCATAATGATATTGTTACGCGCTTGAGCATTATTGTAATAATGAAGCTTTCTTTTTAAAATTCGTACGAATTACTACAAAACATTCAGTTTGATCAAAACATAAAAATACTTCAACCCACTTGATTGTAACATTTGACAAGCAATGAAGAAAAATTGTAATTTATTGCTAAATAATTTCATTTAGAAACAGCGGAAGAAACACATAGTTCAATTTATTTGAGTATAGAAATCAAATTAATGATTCTCAAGATAATGCTTATTTTGAAAAACAACATTTCAGTAAAAGAAAAAGAAGATTATATTATACCTATTCTCAATACGATCGAGAAAGAATCTCTTAATTTCACATACATCATATTCATTCGTACTTTGAACACTATAATTGTAATATAAGAATATTTTTGTTTTCAGAAAAGACTCCAAATTTATTCATTTTTAATTTATCCATTGTAATATTTACTTATTAATAAGTTTTATTATTCTTACTTTGTTTTGTATTCACATTATTATTCAAGTTAAATCCCTTGAGACAAAAATAATCGGAACTAAAATTTACCCAAGTATAGAGAGCTTGCAAAAAAATAGAACATTGACAAAAACATGTCAATTCTATTTGCATTAAATTTTGACATGCAAAGATGTTTATCATGATTCAAAAACTATTCATTATTTAAAGTTACTTTTCACTTATAAATTCCATTTGTCTATTATGAAAGTAAAAGCCGCATGCTAGATATATATATATATATATGTATATAATTCATTGAATTGGTTCGAATCTTTCTTTTTAAGGTATGAAAACAGGAACACGTTTAGATAGATATATATATACAAATACAACGACAGAGATAAACACAAAAAAGAAACGAAGAAAAAAAAACTAATCATAATACTTTTAACTTTTTTCATCTAGTTTAATCTTTTTTGATAATTCATCATCTGAATAATCAAACGTTCGTTTTAAATTCAATGTATTTTCTTCTTGACAACAAATATTTTCAATTAAATCATTGAGACATTGTTGAATAATTTTTTGTTCATCATTTTGTGATAATAATTTTATTTTTTTATTTAATTTTTTATTTTTTTTTTTCTTCTTTACGTCGACGTTTTTCTTCACGACGTATATTACGTTCTTCTTGTTCAACTTCAATTTGTAATAATAATAATTCATCTTCTTCATTTAAATCAAGTAATTTTGATAAATCATTCATATCAGTTACATCATTTTCAATTGTTTCATGTTTGTCATCATGATTATTTTCAATTGTTGGTGTCATTTCACGTGATGAATGCTAGAATAAAAAAATAACAAGAAAGATATACAATTAAATAATTCTAATCTATTAGTATTTAATTTTTTTTTTCTGTTCTTACTCTTGATATTCGATCATCATTATTCGATAATGATGATGATCGTGACCATTGTGCACTACCAGTTGAACTTAATGAATGAGAACGTCGTCGTCGTTGTTGTCGTCGTCGTTTTAAACTACTTTCATCGATCATTGGTGATGGACTACGATCACCGGATTGTTTAGTTTTTTGTTTAAGTAAATCACCTAATGATCCTTTTTTTGGTGGTCCTACTGGTATTTTATGATGTAATCTTGGTGGTAAACCATAATGACGTTGTTCATTTGTTGATAATTCAGCTGATGATAATGGACGTTCACCATCAGGTAAAACAAAATCATCAATATTAAGTAAATCATCGATTTCTTGACGTACATCAATTCGTTGTTGTTGTTGTCGATTAGCAGCTCGTCGTGCCTTTAAATGTGCTTGTTGACTATGTGTTAAACCTGTTATTGGTTTAAATTCAAATTTTGGTATTGTTGAACCAATCGGTTGAAAAAGTTTACCACTTTGATCGGGAAATGGTAAAAATTCATCATCTTGT